AAGCCCAAGAACACCCAAATCAGAGAAATGGTGGCCAATATACTAAAGGGGTACAGAGATAATGACGACATCAGGTACGACAAAGCTCGGTCGTATCAATAGTTGTACCACCCTCAGAAAGCGACAAAACCGCCCAGATCTCACATGATTCTTTGTGGATTTCGTCCCCTTTTGTTCCCATGAATTCTTGGCCATCAAGGGAGGTATTGGGATTAGATTTGGATCATCTGGAGCCCTTGGATCAAAGAGGAGAGTCTACATCCACGAAGGAGACTCGTGGAGGTCGGCTATACAATCACCATCATCATCTACAACCACCCATCTCCCGTGCTGCTTCAAGACCACCTCCACCATAGAAGAAGGGCCAAGACAAGAAGAAGGAAGAGGAGGCTCCGCACCATGCTACACTGGCCTTCAGGTCCGTGCCATCTTCCTCAACACCGCCATGCCTTTCTCCCCGACTTGGTATTGACTTGTACTCTGATCCTCTCCTCTTTGTCTACCATTTACATGTTTGAGTAGTTGTATTAGTTCCAAATACCAAAAAATTGCAAAAAAGTTCCATGCATACATCTTCACATTTTATGTGTGCATAAATTTTCGCCCAAAAATAACTTTTTCTTTGGCATGCAAAAAAGACAAAAAAAAATGTGTTGTGGAACGCAATTTAGAAGCACCGAAATTTATCTTTCCACGGAGGCAAAATAAAAAGAGATTTTTTTCACAAAACTTCATGCCACACACACATGTTGTGAAGATGTATGCATGAAATTTTGTTTCAAACTTTTTGACATTTTAAAACGCGTTTAAAATGTATTTTTTTAAAGCGGGTTCATATGCCTATGGGTTCAAAATGTCCCCAGTCATTATTTGTAGCTATATCTGATATAGCCCCTTGTGGTCTATTGGGGCTGATCGGTGTCGCCCATTTTGCTCCTTTAGGTCATCCATCATCGTCCTTTTGCCTTTTCTTGTTTGTTCTGGTAGCTGTAAAAGACAACGTGGTTTCTGTTAATTAAAATCGGAGAGGGGTTCTCTTTATAGAAAAAAACATGTGTTCAAAAAATGGAAGCAGGTTTAGAAAAAGGAAAGACATGGCAAAAGAATTTGCTCAAATTTTTTTACTGTAAGGTAGGGGATTTCCCTTTTAAATATATGGGTGTGCCTTTGCACTTTAAAAAACATAGGAGAAAAGACATTCAACGTAACATTGATAGGTTTATCAAGAACATATCTGGTTGGTTGGGGAGATGTCTTTCTTATAGATGCAAGCTTATCTTGCTTACTACTTGCATTGCCAGCATCCCTACCTATCTTATGTCCATTATGAAACTCCCTAAGAGCATCTCCAATAGATGGTTCAAAATTTGGCAGTCCAAAACCGGAGATGTAAAATTTGGACCGCCAAAAAGTGCGGTTTGGAGCTCCGAAAAAATCTCAACTCCAACAGATGGTCCAAATATGCAACTCCAATAGATGGGCCAAAATGAAGATGTAAACAATATGAAAACGGCCGCGCGGCTGCTGCCAGCCACTATTCAGCTGCGGTTTTGCATTGAAATAGAAATTAAAATTGGAAAATAAAGTGCATCATCATCATAGTTTCAATCAAAAGTGCATCACCATCATAGTATCAAACTCGTCTATCAAAAGAGCATCGTCTCAATCAAAGTTTTTCGTCCTAGAAATTGAAATATACATGAATATTACTCATTCGGGTCATCAATACTCCTTGATGCATTTCCAATAGGTGCTCACCGTTTGGTCGCTTCCAACGCTTGCATCTTGAGAGATTTTCTTCCAAGCGGTGCATATCAACTCATCCTCCGCGGTGGTATAATTTCCACTTCTTCCCTTGCCAATAAAGCCCTCATCGTCCACATCAAGATTGTCATCATCATATTGGGTTTCATATTCTTGTGACTCATATATGTAATCATCATTTGCCACATTTGTTGCGTGCATGAAAGCTTCATCATCAACACTACAATTGCACGCACAAACAATCAAGAACACAAAAAATTTGAAACAACAAACGAGAGCACAACCGCAAAATTTATACCTTTGCGACATTTCGTCGAACATGCTGGAGGCGGTGCCGTCGGCGTGGCCACATCTTCCTCGACGGCCGGCGGTGGCGGCGGGGGAGGTTGAGGAATGGATGTGTGGCTGCTGCAGAAGGCCGCCGGCCGCACCGTCTGCGAGTCGTCGCCCCGAGCCGCCGCGGCCGCCTTTGAGACCTTCACCGGCCGCGTAGAACTGTCGGCTGGGTTGCGGTTGCGGTTGGCCGGCCGTTTGATGCTGCCTCCTCGTCCCTTCGCCGGCTTCGCCGCCTGCGTGGTGGCCACCGGCCGGGGCGGCGCCAATTCGGGCCGGCGGGCGGGGGGCAGCGGCATGGCCGCGGTTGCGGGCGGGATGGCAGTGGCAGCGGCGGCGACGACCACGTGGGTCAGCCCACCGGCTGCGGCGGCGACGGAGATGGC